TGTATGTATGTATGTATGTATGTATGTATGTATGTATGTATGTATGTATGTATGTATGTATGTATGTATGTATGTATGTATGTATGTATGTATGTATGTATGTATGTACTACCTCTGTCCCATTGTCTTAGTCCAGTTTTGACTTTTGGAACTGTTCATCTAAGCACTTTGACTCATCAAATTATCTCAATGCGTAAGCCTAAAAATAATCATGTGTGATTTTGTTTGATTCGTCTTAACATATAGATTATTAATATATAATTTTTATAATTTTTTAATATACAAATTACAAAATAAAATGGATTAAAGAAGTGCATTGGATGGTGTGCCAAAAGGTAAGTGGACAAAGACAGTGGGTCGGAGAGAGTATATATATATATACATATTATATATATATATATATATATATATATATATATATATATATATATATATATATATATATATATATATATATATATATATATATATATATAGGGGCCGGTTCCTGTAAGAATGCACCTTGTGGAGAGAAATGAGAATGAAATCTAGTCGTTAGATATGATGCATCGTGCGGCTCAGATTGCATCCTGCGCTCAGATTTTGAGATAGTGCATTTTCAAAGGATTATGATGTATTTCGACGTGATGCATTTTCAAATCGTTTTGTTGCACCTAATTTTGATGCAATACTGACTCTTAGATCGCACAATCTAAAGCACCAGATTCATTCTCATTTCTCTCCTAAGATTGCATTCTCACCAGAACCAATATATATATATATAAGATCTAAATTTTGTTGTGTATATTCCAAATTTGAATTACTTTTTTCAAATTTAAATTGAACCCCAAGCAAAAATATAATTTTAAGTATAAACAATGTATGATATGGTTCAATAGAAAAATGTCTTCCTATCTAAATATACATTTTTTATTTTAAATTTAAAGAACAATGCTCCGAATAGATTGTTTTTTGAGAATTCTTCCATTTCATAATAATCAATTTTGGAGAATTTTTCAATTCCTAATGAAATTGCTAATACTATGTTTGGTTCAATGAATTAGAGGGGGAATCTAACAGTAAATGAAAAGAAAACTTTGTAGAATAGACAGACAATCAAAAAATACCTTGTATTAGAATTAACTTTTATAGAGCAAAATATCCCACCATATCAATTCATCATCTGTGCTGCCAAGTACTTCATCTCTGGCCATATGTTTTGGTTTATTAATGCAATCATAAGCTTTTTAAATGTTAGATACACAATACTTTAAAAAGTGCAAAAATGAACAAAAAAGAGTGCTTAAGGAATTTTCACAAAACACGCTTTAAAATACCAAGTGGGAGATTGGGGAACCTTAATTGCAAACTAATTCTTGTAGATATCCCCTCGGAGGAATGCGAAGAATTATTTTTTTTAAACTTTGTATAAATAAAAAATGTAACATCAAATTAAGATAATATTTATAACGAGTAAAGTGCATTGTTTACCCCCGTACTTTTTAGAAATTGCATGCTTTACCCCTGAATTTTAAAAAGTGCACCGATTACCCTCGAACTCTTCGAAAATTGCACGATTTACCCTTACACACTAAAAAATGCACCAAATACCCTTGAACAAATTAAAATGTTGCATCGTTGGTCCTAAACTATTAGATAGGGAGTGCGTTGCTTCCACGATCAAGAATTGCGAATATGATTCATCTGACCTTTGTGAATTCTCTAAAGTACCTTTACCCAAAATTGTCGTCTTTATTTAAATGTTTAGGAGTAAACAATTCAATTTTCGAAGAGTTCAGGGGTATTTGGTGCAATGTTTATTGTTCAGGGGTGAACCGTGCAATTTTTGAACAATTCAGGAGTATTTGGTGCACTTTTTAGTGTTCGGGGGTAAATCATGCAATTTTCAAAGAATTCGAGGATAAGCGGTGCACTTTTCTCTATTTCTAACTAACCTCAGAACCTATTTTCAACAATAAATGAAGAACACGAGCTATCAAACCAATACGGTCTTTCACTCTTGTTAAATATACACTCCGTATGTAGTTTAAAATGTTAATTACGACAGCTTAAAGTTGTTGATATACGGAGTACTCCGTATTATTTATCAGCATTGTAGTGTATTCTTAAATCACTTTGAATAACCTCACAAACAAGATTGGATAGCAGAGTGTACCTCAAGATATATAGTATGTCAACAATACAATTCCACAGTATGCATATATATAACTATATGCATGATTAAGCAAGGCAGCAAGAATCTATCCTTGCACAACTTGATGAATGAGATATACAATCCAGTCCTCCCTCCACAAACTTCCTGTGATTGGTGAAAGAATACTATTACCACTATCTTAACATTTGCCTTCATCGATTATAATACAAATATGGAGCATCATCACTACGTCAAAAACAGATGCTGACAACTGTTTCTTTTAGTAGTCTCTCAGTGCTGATTTTAGTAGTCTTTTGAGTAGCTGTCTGATATATTTACAGACTATTGTTTAAAAACAATTGTGTAAAATGGTTGACGACACCTGTTTTGTGTTGTTTTAGAGTACCAATTTTTAGTGTTGTCCCCGCATGAATAAGACATCTGTTTTTTAGAGTTAAAGAGAACTGTAATTTTTTGTTGTCTATCTATAACGAATACTACTGTTGTTCTTAACTACAGTTAAGACATCTGTTTTTCCCTCCCCTAAACTTCATTCTCTCTCTTCCTAAATTCATTTTCCCTCCCCTAAATTTCATTCTCCCTCTTCTTAATTTCTCTTTTCCCTCCTCTAAAAAACCCTCTCTCGTCGATTAAGGTCAGAAGAAAAAATTTCGCCGCTTCACCGTACCTTCATGCCTGGAGCCAGAGCCGTCGATCCTCGTCGCTCCTATCTTCTTTGTCGCCATCGAGATACCTCGACACCGGGCAGTGGTCTTCCGATCCCCAAGATCACAACCCGAATCTCTACTGCCTCTAATTTACAGGTTTTACTTTATCTTGAAAATACTCTAATGGTTAAATTATGTAAATTTCTTTGCATATCTCTTGAAAATACTCTAAATTCTTCAATTATATGAATGAAAATATTCTTTTTTTTGAAGGAAAAAATCACATTAAATAAAATGAGAAACAATAAAGTCTGGAGGAACAGATTCCCAAACCCCACGTTGAGCAACCGCTCGACGGGCTAACACATGAGCAACACCATTCAAATCTCGACAAACATGAGACATACAAATTGAACGAAAAGAAGATAAAAATAGCCTACACTCCTCAATAACCGAACCAAAGTACGAGCGAGAATTGGTGGTGTGGTTGATGGCATTCACCACCATCCAGCTATCAGAAAAAAGCTGCACCTCCAAGCATGCCTCTCTCTTTCACCAAGCCAAAGCCTCTCTAACCGCAATTGCTTCTGCTAGAAGGGAATCTTGAGAACACGGAATAATACTGTTACAAGCTTTCACAAATCTACCACCTGGATCAAGAAGAACAGCACCGAATCCTACCTCTCCGACCTGAGGAAACAAAGCGGCATCAACAAAGCAATGTCGCACTTGCCCTGAACTTCGCTGCCCTAGAATAGTGCAAGACGGCAGAATCAATTGCTGCCCCAAACGGCTGTCCGGCCAACGTTCAACCAGTGACTTAATCAACCGAATAGTTACCGCCGACAGCGAAACCCTTCCTTCCCAAACTGCTGCATTACGAGACTTCCACAAAGCCCAAACTGCATATGCAGTAACTTTAAGCTCTCCCAATGACCTTGAACCAATAAGCCCTTCAAAAAAATGTATAAAGGAACCCGCGGCTACTGTTGAAACCTGAACTCCAATCCCTTCCCAAATAGCCGATGCATAAGGACATAAAACAAAAATGTGATCAATTGTTTCCCCCTCTTCCCCACATATTGGGCATAAGTTGTCTAGTTCCATCCCTTTAGAATTGAGGGATGAGATAGTTGGTAAAATACCCCGAAAGGACGGAAGACCCAAGTAGTTACCAAAATTATCCATCTCCAAAACCCCAAAAAAAGAAGAGAGCATCTCCCTGATTTCCAAACGGGTGTTAAGACTAAAACAGATACTGGATTTACTAAAATTGATGGACTGACCCAAAATTCTTTCGTATTCAGCAAGGCAACGTTTAACTTCCCCCGCCTCTTCCAGAGTAGATCTCAAAAATAGAAGACTGTCATCGGCAAAAAATAGATGGGAGATAGAAGGAGCTCCTCTGGCCACTCGAACTCCATGGATACGTCCACTCCTTTCTGCTTCCTGTAAAAGCAAGGACAGGCCCTCCGCACAAAGAATAAAAAGATAAGGGCTAAGGGGATCCCCTTGCCTAAGGCCTCGAGAAGGAATAATATAGTCAGAAAGTTCACCATTAATAAGAATTCGGTAACGCACTGTGGTGACGCAGAGCATAATAAGTCGAATCCACCCTTCGGCAAAGCCCAGACTCTCCATCATCCGTCGGAGGAAACTCCACTCCGATCCGAACGATCATAGGCCTTGGCCATATCAAGTTTTAGGCCAACCCAACCTGTTTGACCAACTTGCTTTCTCCTTAGGTAGTGCCCCAATTCAGCTGCCAGCAAGATATTATCAGAAATAAGCCTCGCTGGGAGGAAAGCTGACTGTGTTTCTGAAATGATTTTCTGTAATAGAGGCTTCAAACGATTAGCAAGAACCTTGGCCATGATCTTATAGGTGATATTGCATAAGGCAATGGGTCTCAAATCAGCAACTACCTCAGGAGCACTCTTCTTAGGGATTAAAACTAATGTTGTGTCGTTAACACCTTCTGGGAGCTTTCCCTGATGCAGACAAGACAGCACAAATGAATGAAAATATTCTAATTCTTCAATTATGAGGATTTATTTGCTTAATTTTTGTTACCTCAATCTTTCTATGAACTTTTTTTTGTGAGGGATGAATGGAAGTTTTCAAATGGAAGTTTTTTGTTGTAAAAAACGGTGGGCAGAGTCAATTACCAAGACATTTACATGGCTTAGCTTGGGTTGGTTTACTTTAGCTAGTCTACATTTCTTTTTAGTTGTGCTACCATTCGTGTGACTAGGGGCAATGTGTTATGTTGCTTGGTTTTGTGGAGTGTTTGAGGTTTTTTGAGGTTTGTTTTTGGTGGGACATTGTCTAAAGTTTTCAAAAACGTTTAACGAGTTTTTGACATTTGGGTTGTTATATTGTGTTAAGTTGTTGGCTCATTGTAGATCTGTTCATGGGCTTCACTGCTGTAGTTTGCTATTAGTAGCTTTGTTATTGTGTTCTACTGCTATAGTTTACCTTGTCATTTGTTCTTGTGTTCTACTGCTATTGTTCTAAGTCATACCAAAACTAGAAGCTCCTGTTGGCATGTTGTTACATGAACTAATGACTGATTTTTTTGGAACCTAACCCAAGAAGCCTACAGGTACTCATAAAATGGATCCAGGCCCAGAAAACATGTTTCATCTTTCAGCTTCAATAATGATACATAAAAGGATAGTATGTAGTTCTATACAACTATGTTGTAGTCAATGTTAATTAATTACTCTGTAAGTTTTGTCTAGATTTCTACATACATTAAGTGAGCTAGAGCTTTCTGTGTTTCTTTCTGTGTTTCAGATTCAAAGGATATACATGTTCTCTTAATTGCAGGAACATTGCATTATTGAACTTAGCATGATGATCATGGCGGCACTACTACAGAATCACTATTTTACAACGCCTAATAGACATTAAAGAAATAAGAACAGCTATCTATTATTTGGAGAAAAAATGCCTTAGTTTAAAAAATTGGAGTACGGCTCGCCACTTTAATTAGAGTATACGAAGTATACATTCAGCAGTGGATAAAAAACGGCCGCTGCCTTTTCCATGAATCCACGAGTATTTGATGCAGATTGGAGACAACTTCTCGAATTCAATACGGAACAGCCAGTGGGGACCCAAAGGTGTCACTGCCCATCACTGAAAATTTAGGAATTCGGAGTCTAAAAACCAGTGACCAGCCGATTTAGACCTCAAATGCCAATTCGAGGTTATGGGTTGTGTCCTATTCATCAGCACTTAACCATTACAGCTCCATGAACAAACCAGTACAACCTGGGCAGTCCTAGCCGAAGCAATGCAAGGAAGGCAGTGAAGAACAAGGCTACAAACACCAGCAGGTTCATGATGCAATTTATCACACAAGCTCAGTTGGTTATCCTAGAATTTAGCTTCTAAATATGGTTGTTGGTTATCAATTATTGGGTTTGGTTTCAATTTTGTTTTACCAGCTTTGGTGTATGTTTATCTAGGTTTGACTATGATATGTAGCCCTTGGTTTTGATTTTTATTTGGGCAATGTTTTTGATGTAGGGAATAGTTGTTAGCTTTTCTCGAGGGGCTTTGGTTTGGTCCTCCCCTATTGTACTTGTTTCTCTATTTCCATGTACTTTTTCTTTCGTTTCAATGGAAGTGTTTATTTTTTCATGTCCATATAATTGTTTGAAACAATGTTTATTTGATTGTTGTACATACATTGTCCGAAAGTATGAAAGTAAAGTTAGAGAGCGTATCCATTTTCATTGTAAAAAAGATTATCGTTACTTTGAACCTTTAAAATAGTTCTAGGCTTAAGAGCGCTAGACTACTATTTAAAACGAATATTCTTAACTTTTAAAATAGTTCTAGGCTTAATATGCATAATTCTTTTAAAAATAGTTTTCTTTACTTATTATAGATAACCGTGAAAAAAAAACAGTGTGACACACTACTAGTAATACATTACGGTTTCTCAAAACTTTGAAAATAGTTCTAGGATTAATAGTCTAACTACTATTTAAAAAGGGTATTCTTAATTTATTATTAACAACTTGTAATAGATTATGGTTTCTATGAATTTTAAAAATAGTTCTACGCTATATAAATATATTACTGTTACAAGGGAGTCTTCTATTCTTATAATAAACAACTAAGAAAAACAAAACCATATGAAACTTACAACTAACAATATAATACTATTTCTTACTCCCTCTGTTTGGAAAAACCCTTCCCATTTGATTTGGGGGCAAAAATAAGGAAGTGTTAAATTATAGTTGATTTCCAATTTTGTCCCTGATGTGATGGGTAAAAATAAGATATGATGGATAGATTATTAGAGAAAAAGTATGATGTGATAGGTAGGGTATGAAAAAGTAAGGGTAAAAGTGGTTTTTTAATAGAAAGGGGAAGTGTTTTGTTGGAAGTGGAAAAAATGAAAGAGGAAGTGTTTTTGAGAACGGAGGGAGTATAAGTTTAAAAATAGTTATAAACTGAAAAACCAGACTACTGTTTAGAAATAGTAGTCTTAACTAATTATTGACAACTGTGGCAACAAAAACTGTATTTTTAGGTGAAACGGACTACTAATAAAAGATTACCGTTTCTGACAACTTTAAAAACAGTTCTACCCTTAATTCATAGACAACTGTTACAAAAGAGTCTTTTGTTCCCATTAAAAACAACGGTGGCAAAAAAATCATATGAAACAGACAACTAGCAATAGATAACTGTTTCTAATAAGTTTAAAAATAGTTCTAGACTAAAACATCATACTACTGTTTAAATAGAGTATTCATAACTTGTTATTGAAAATTGTTGCAACAAAAACTGTATTTTGAACTGACACAGACAACTAGTGATAGATTATCGTTTTTCGAAACTTTAAAAAACACTTTTAAAGCATTGTAGCTAGACTACTGATCTGTAACCACGGAAAATTCATAGTAGTCTGTTTTTTTAACTACTGTATTTCCATAAACAGTAGTTAATCAACAGTGGTCTGATATTGTTTTTGGCGTAGTGCATGCACATTAAGTGAATGCTTTTCCATTCTCCTATCAGCTTAAGAATTAAAAAAATTAAAATGCTTTATACAAATTTTAGAGGGCCGGGATACATCCATCAGAATTGGGAGTTATGACGCAAAATCTCTCGCCTTTTGATATTGTTTTATTTACAAATTGGTATACCAATAAGAAAAAAATTTATATTAAAAAACTACATCAAAGTTTACAAATAAAAAATGTGACAAGAATATTCTATTTTATCAAATACTCAACGAAAGCACACACAAATAAATAAAAGTTATCGAGAGGGAAAAAAATTATAATCTATTTCGAGATGGAGGGAGTAATATTTAAATATTCTGTCTAACAACTTCAATGTGATCCTTATGTTTTCCTACTTTTTCCGGTCCAGTCCTCACAATTTTTGGAAATCTATTTTATGTCCACTTTTACACGCACAACGTTGTTTTAAACGTGAATTGCAATATATTTAGAGCAATAATTCGACATTGTCCTTACATTTTCCTACTTTTACCGGTTGAGTGACTTCAGTCCATAAGATTTTTCGCAAATATGTTTCAGTCCCTTCATTTTTTTAAAAAAAAAAAATTGGTGCCTATTAGGTCCCTTAGCCAATCTTTCTGCAAACCGACCAAATTGGTTAGTGTAAAAATGGAACAAGCATGTAAGTGCGCTTGGAGAAAAAAATGGCACTCCGTATATAATAAAAGCACAAAAAAAAATAGGACAAAGGGAGATATAGTATTATACGGAGTACCGTAAATCCAATAATAATAATAATATACTCCCTCAATTCCACAAAAAAATTTTCATTTGGATGTATTTTTGGTCAAACAGTTACACGCTTTGATCATAAATTAAATATAATCTAAATAAAGAAATGCTAAAAAATCTGAGATATCAAAACTAGATCCTAAGAGGAATATAATAATATTAATTTTATTTTATAATTCAATATACATTTCTCACAATTTGTAGTCCAATTGTGTAAATATTTGACTAAATACTATTCAAAATCAGAACTTTTTTGCGGGACGGAAGGAGTACGTAGAAGTAATCCAATAAGAATATATCCGAATCATCCAGCATTCATATATTAGTACTCTAATTAAGAATGCCACCAAAACAGAGATTACAAGTATTTATATCAAAAGGCTAGAACTAGGGAAAAATAACAAACTGTAACTAATTGTAACAAACTGGTAACAAACTAAA